CTTTCGCACCGGTATGTGTTCCAACAGTAATGGTAGTTGGTTTTGTAAAAAGTGTAAATAAATATTTCCGTTGAGCTTTTGTTCAAATATAAATGCACCGATAACTCGACCCCCAATTATTCCGCACCAGACATTGATACTAAATCGCCCTTGATACTCAACTTCCTGCATCCAATGAGGGTTTGTCCTTGACCAATAATGCATAATATGTAAATTAACTCCCCCATTGCTGTTAAAAGTAGCTTCATATGTCCAAAGTATCGTTGTAAGAAACTGATGTTCTTCTCAGAACCGATTGTTTTGTCAACAACCCAACAATATCATTGTTATTGTCAAATTGATTATATCTTCGCTTATAACAAATATATCGGTGTAGAGTTTTCACTATTTTGCTTCATTTTTTATACTCCTTCTAAGCAGCTAAAAAATTATATATCATTTCATTTAAAAAATTTAAGAAAATCGAAAAAGTTTGACGACTTTTTATAAAAACGCCCTCTGGCGGCCAAAGTGGCAATGATATCGGCCAATATTTTATAGTAGGTGTTAATCAATCATGTAAATCAAGAGCTATTCAATTCCAATATAAGCGTTGAATTTGGTTAAGCCAATACGGAGCTGTTAACAACTTTTTGAACCGTTATTTGATTTTCCCCCACCACTTTATTTGACTAGCTAGAACAATAATACTTCCACGAGAAATAACTGAAAGTTTGTCAAGAATAGAATGAAGGTATTTCCAACCTACCTCGGCCTATCTGAAACCGCCGAAAATACGTGTTTAAACTTTGCTATTGTAATTTCGCCCTCTAGCGGCCATTTTGCTAACTTGAAAGTAATTTCCAGCCATTTCCCTGAGCCACTTTACTTACATATTTTTTTACTTGAAATTGATAAGACTAATAGTTTGTGAGATACGGCCGACCACCTCTCTTAGTGGCCCACCCTGTACATAATATATAGAGTAACGTTAAAAAACACATCGTTAAGTTCTTCTAAATCAAACGTAATAAGTCCAATAATTTTATCAATATTAATTAAGTTAACACAGTTAAAGTCCAACACTATATTAATAAAATCCAAAGAGTTTACGGTTACAACAAAATACCGGGAAAAAATCTCCTAACCTTATCCCGTATCAATATAATATCAATATCAGTGATCGTAGTTAAAATAATTTTATATACAGTGATTTATGTTGACTTTGCATTAGAAGGTTTTCAACTTGCAGTTGGTTCAGAAGCTTTAAATTTGCTATCATAACGAATTAAGCCGAAATCATGTAAGACACATCTAAGCCTCCAGCTGGACAGGGTGTACGAAAAGTATAACCTATACTTCAATTGGCAACGCCACGGGTCGCTCTGCTTACAGAACAAGCTTTATCTAAGAAAACGTTCTAAATTCAAAGCACGAAGTTAGTAGGTAGTAACCTGAAAGCCCAATCATAATTTTAAACAATTCGGACCGATAAAGCCACATTTCATGACTTCTTTTTTAATTATGCTCCATATGTAACGGGAAGTGTTCTTAGCCGCGATTGTAATGAAAGGTTTCTCTTGGTAAGGGTGTTTCCATTTACCAAAGGCTCTGCGTGCCATTTCAATTCTTAGTCCTATCTCTTCGTCATATGTTATTATTATGTGGATACTAGTTCAGTTTCAAGGACGATCAATTTTAATCTATATTATTCAAATACAACAAAAAGATGCAGCAAGCCAAACGACCCGAAACCAATGATCAGACCCAGAATACCAAATTCTGAGGCCAACCCCAGAATTTTGCTCTAAGTACCTACATAAGTTTACAACCTACAAGCTAGAACTGCAAGATCAGCAGACCTATAAACTGGTCTAAATTCGCTTAATTAGAGATAAGAGAATATTTTTAATAGTCGTACAGATCCACACATATTGTCTTCACTCAATTAACCGTCCTATACGAACCTAGTTTTATAATAATAAGTCCGTATATAAGAAATTCGTTTTTTTAAGTCTTTACGCTTGGCAAAGCATAACATTTGTATGATGTTGAGGCCTGGACAATAACTATCGTAAAATGCTAAGAATATTATACATGAGTCGTGCGACAAATGTGGAAGGCCTGCGGCGGATGAACAAAACAACAAAGCGTATGTTAAGTCAAAAAAGGAAGAAAAACACAATACTTTGACTACATTATGGGAAACCAAAAATACGAACTCCTCCGACTTACCATCGAAGGCAAAATCAATAGTAGGAGGGGACAGGAAGCAGACGCAACTCTTGGTTTAACTACCTATGACAGTGGACAAATATGACCTTCATAGCATTATTTAGAGCCGATACACATAAGATTAAATGGGCAAATGTATTGGTAAACGTCCTTAACGGTAAGGCACCTTTTCGAAACGCACAGTAAATTATGTACATTTTTTTTAAGTTTATAGTTTAGATGTAAAAATCATAGAACGACAATTATAATGCTATTCTTATTTTTAGGAGCACATATCGCATATGGGTTTAAGTGATAAACTGTTTTGTTGGAACTATGATGTTTAAAACACTCAATAAACATGAGACTAAGTCATTATCCCTGGGATAATTTGCCACAGAAGCTACCGAACAAGTTGTTGGCACATGTCTTACATACTATATTGCCGTTGTTTCTCAGCTTCTCTCTATGATATAATCATATTTTAGACAAAACTGTTTCAAGCACAATTTCCCAGTGCAGTTCAATTCAAAATTTTTTCAGATTTACCTGCTATTTCTCTCGGGAACTTGGAACGAAAATTGCAATTTAACGCCTTTGGTCTTTTTTATTTAAGGTTTTTTTAAGTCACAATTTTATGTGAACAAACCAACAACAATTGAAGCATTCAGAGATGAAATTCAACGGTGTATCTCTGGAATACCGCAAAATTTATGTGCAGCAGTCCTTGAAAATTTCATGAGAAGAGCACGTCTGTGCCAGCAAAGCCGAGGCGGTTATTTGTTCGATGTCTTATTCCATTCATAACTTCAAGATGTGTACTCAATTTTTCAATAAATGTTTCAAACTTATACCACAAATATATACGTTTTATTTAAAATTTAAATTCGTCGTTCTTATTGAAACGCCTTTTATATCTGCACACTCTGTCGAGTTATGCGACCTATACAATCAGGCTAGATAGTACTTTCAACAGGCGTTGGATTCCTTTCTATTTCCTCAAAAGATAATACGCATTTGCCAAAATAGTTCAAAAATCTTCCATATATCCAAATAACCTTAATTGAAAATGAAGTTCGACCATCCACAATTGACTGATGGTACTAGAGATTAACAACAGTTAGAAATTGATCAATTTGTATTAAAGCGTTCTGGTGCAAAACAAGAATTTCTACGCAATAAAAAGTGCCTTCACTTGAAAAGGAAAGCGTGCATAAGTGTGTTAAACCTTAATTGAATTTGATGTTCGAACAATCACGCTTTTATTTCTCAGTGAATCGTGGCTTAATGGCCATTGCAGTAATCTGTACATACATTAATTTTACTCGCATGCGGCAAATATACATGTTACTGTTAATATGAATGTTGGCATACTTTTCTTGATACTTGTTTTTTTCACTTTTAACTAATATGCACTGCAATTGAGCCTGATCTTAGCACTGAGACGTATATTTCAAATGTCGTACTGTGAAGCGAAATTGTATCAAGCTACTACAGATCCAGAAAATGTTGACATTATTACTAATTAGAGGTGTGCTAAACGGTTATTTTTCTGTAACGGGTTACAACGTCTCAGTTTGACTTTGGTAATAGGTTCCAAAAGAAACTGTTACTTTTTAAAATTTTCATTAAAAATGCATAATGATGATGATAGTAGAAATAGTGATGATAAAAGTCGAGAGCGCTCGACGATGCCGCATCGGTTCTGTGACGGGCGCGAACCACTTTTTCAGGTTTATGAGACTGTTCCAAAAAAACCTTTAAGTCGGCAATCGGCTGTAGCTGGTGCAAAGTGCGCACAACTGTTTCTGTTTTATGAGACGGTTTCAAAAAAATCCAGGTAAATCAGCGAGCTGTAGCTACGGTTTCAGGTTACACGTTTGGAACACTGTTATTTTAGCGGTTACGTTAAATACAGACCATTCCTACTATCCGGAAATTTCGGGTTTATTGCGTTCAAAGCAAAAGAGTGGGGCCTACAATATGTGAAAGTTGCGATTCGCTGCAATCATCAAGGATTTTTTGAGGAATTTTTAAAATTTGACCATTGAAAAACGCATTGCGTCCCAACCAGAAAAGCCGGAAATTCCGCGTTTGCTGCGTTAAACGCAGAAGAATCGGGTCTACAATGTGCGAAAGTTTCGATTCGCTGCCATTATCAAGGTTTTTTTGAGGAATTTTTAAAKTTTAAAGTTTGCRCATTTTCACTTCCATTGCGCGCGGATTCGATGCGCCATTGAAACCTTCATTTCGTCCCAACAAAAAAAGCCGGAAATTTTGGGTTTACTGTGTTAAACACAGAAGAATCAGGTCTACAATGTGCGAAAGTTTCAATTCGCTGCCATCATCAAGGTTTTTTTGAGGAATTTTTAAAGTTTAAAGTTTCCACATTTCACTTTTATTGCGCGCGGATTCGATGCGCCATTGAAACATTCATTTCGTCCCAACCAGAAAAGCCGGAAATTTCGGGTTTAYTGCGTTAAAAGCAGAAGAGTCGGGCCTACAATGTGTGAAAGTTSCGATGCGGTGMTATCATCAAGGATTTTTTGAGGAATTTTTAAAACTTGCCCATTTTCCCTTCCAATACGCGTGGGCGCGATTGACCATTAAAAAACGCATTGCGYCCCAACCAGAAAAGCSGGAAATTYCGYGTTTGCTGCGTYAAAAGCAGAAGASTYTGGCCTACAAYGTTTGAAAGTTTCGATTAGCTGCCATCATCAGGGTTTTTTTGAGGAATTTTTAAAATTTAAAGTTTGCKCATTTTCACTTCCATTGCGCGCCTATGCGATGCGCCATTGAAACATTCATTGCCTCCCAACCATAAAAACCGCAAATTTCGGGTTTATTGCGTTAAAAGCAGAAGAGTCGGGCCTACAATGTGTGAAAGTTGCGATTCGGTGCCATCATCAGGGATTTTTTGAGGAATTTTTAAATTTTGCCCATTTTCACTTCCAATACGCGTGGACGCGATTGACCATTGAAAAATTGATTGCGTCCCAACCAGAAAAGCCGGAAATTTCGGGTTTACTGTGTGAAAGTTTTTTCAGTAATTTGACAAAGAAAATGTCCTAAAAGATTGATAGAATGCAATTTGCAGCTTTAAGAATCTGCCTAGGAGCCATGGGATCCACACCTACGAACGCCCTTTTGGCAGAAAGCTCTGAAATAGCTTTGTCCTACAGGAGAAAAATTCTAGCGACAWAATTCTTATCAAAATACTTAGGAAGAGAACAGCACCCACTTATGCAAATAATAACAACTTTATGAAAAAACTATTTACAAAATCCGTCTAATCAATGAACCCCGATAATATTACAGGCCTTCGAACCGTTTCTGCCATACATCAGAAAAATATCCTACCATAAAAAATGTCCATGTTAAGACATCAGCATGGAAAATCAAATAAAGAAAATAAGAACGCTCAATTTGGAGTGAAAAAAAGGATGACCTGAACGTCACACAATTTTTTTTATTTTTTTTTAGGGATTGTGGCCTGTAGGGGGTCCCGTGGACGACATCTGAATGAAATCGTTTTTCACGTATTATGGCAAGGTTTAATCTTTATAATGAATTAAMATTTCCGTCTCCATCTGAATATTTTGTRTGTTTTTTTTTTTACTTTACTTTCCCAAGCATAAAATGTATAACCCTGTACAATGTATTAAAAACAAAGAAAGCACATTTTKCCATATAATAGTATTATAGCGTGAAAAGCCGTAGTGCATTATAAAGATACTTCCGGMTGCCGGTTAAAATATATTCTAGTGTTGGACTGAACAATCAATAGAAGCTTGGTCACATAGCGTTCAATCCCTCCATATGTACAACTTGCAATGCTAATCAATTGCTAACTTTTAAATCTGACTATCTGCAAGCTAAAACATTTTATTTACTAATTTTCTATAACGCAAACGAGTGCATAATGAAATATTAATTGACAATCTAATTCTACGATATCGTTTTCTTGTCTTAAAAACGAACACTCGAGCGAAATGACGGACTAAAAACCTACATAGAAGATTTCTATGAAGGTGATTGGAATCGTTCGCAAACTTGAACAGCGAGCAAGTCGTTAAGAAGGTGCTTCATAAATAATGCTACATTAACAAGCCATTACTGAAAACAACCGCAGTTGGGAGAATAAGCGATTCCAACCAACTTCTCATCTGGGGCTAAAGCATAGTTTTTGAGCAAAACAAATGCAACATCAAAGTTTAAAAAATAGGTTAATTGATATTAGATAAAAGCAAATATTTCAGTACGTGATATCAAGAAACTATCGACACTGTAATTTAAGTAAATCTTCTTTAGTTTGCAGTAACCAATAAATGTCGATCCAAATATAAACCAATACATTATATGTTCAGTAAGGAGAAGAAATCTCGATAATTTTAACTTACTTTCATATAATAAACGGTTGACTGAGTTATAGTGTATCTTCAGTCGCAAAAACCACTTTAACATCAAATAAAACTTAATTAAACTTAGTTAATTTTAAATGTCCATTGCAGCGAATAACTTGGAAATTATGCGAATAAATTGGAGTTTTTACAGTTTCTCCAAAATACAAAGCACATCACTAGACTTGTGAAACTTGAAATATTGCAACCCTTAACTGAAACATGCACTCATAAATGACCGATTATTTTTACTTTCTGTTGTTAACGAAAGTGAGCTTTTTCATTAACAACAGAAAGTTAAAGTGCAACTTTTTATAACTTAATTATCATTTAAGTTTAGCCGAACTGATCCCAGAAATAAATTTTCCTTTGTTATATAAAAGCGTTACTTCAAGTGTAAATGTTATTGATTGAACTTTGGCCACCTCGTTTTTGCATTTATTTTGAAATTTATAGAAAAATGTTAAATACAAAAGTTTTCACTTCCATTACGCGCGGATGCGATACGCCATTGAAAAATTAATTGCGTCGCAACTAGAAAGAAGCAGGAAATTTCGGGTTTATTGCGTTAAACGCAGAAGAGTCGGGCATACAATGTGTGAAAGTTTCGATTCGCTGCCATCATCAGGTATTTTTTGAGGAATTTTTAAAGCTTGCGCATTTTTACTTCTATTACGCGGGGATGCGATGCGATATTGAAAAATTAATTGCGTTTTTGAGTTAATAACCAATATTAATTGAACTTTGGCCACCCCGTTTTTGCATCTAATTTTAAATTCACAGAAAAATGTTAAATACAAAAGTTGTAAATATTAACGTCTAGTTTATTTTAAGATAATACTAACTGATATAGGTTGTCTCAAATTCAAATGGCAGACCAAACTTACCTTTTTTGAAATAGAATGCCGTACTTTTTATTGCATATTCGAACTATTCGCACAATTCTAGGCCTACTTGATATAAATATTTTATAATGATTTTCAACTGTTTTTGAGTTAATAACCAATATTGATCGAACTTCGGCCACTCCGTTTTTGCAGCTAATTTGAAATTTAGAGCAAAGTATTGTATACAAAACTTGTATGATATTGACATCTAGTTTATTTTAATATAATAACAATTGCTACAGGGTTTCTCAAATTTAGGTGCTTGACCAAAAATATTTATAAATGCGATGCCCGAATGTTTAAATTCCTATTAACTTAAAAACAGTTGAAGATCAACATAGAAAATTTATATCCAAGAGGACTGGAATTTTGCGTATAGTTGGAATATCAAATAAAAAGTGCGCGATTCCATTTAAAAAACATGTAAGTTTGTACCGTCACTTGAGTTTGAGACACCCTGTATCAATTGGTGCTATCGTGAAGTAAACTAGACGTTCATATCTACAACTTTTGTATTAAACATTTTTCTCTAAATTTCAAATTAGATGCATAAACGGGGTGTCTTAAGTCCAATAATAACCCTGTACATGCATTCGTCCATACAACACTATTTTCGCACAGACTATGAGAAATAAGCAGTGATAATTATTTACATATTGACTGTATAATATTAATAAAGTATGCCGTTTCAACTCACTAACTAGAAACCAACTTTCAAAACTGCACAAGTTTTATAATTTAATAACAAATTCAGATATTTAATGTAAATACTAAGAAACTAATGAATATAATTAAAGGCAGCTATAAAAAGATAGTAAAACGATATACATCAAGCGCAAGTCTTTCTTCCGAATGGTAAAAGAAGAAAGAAAAGAGCCCCGCATTCGTCTTCATTTCTTGACGATGGTCGCGTATAAATACAGAAATAGTGACCTATTTTCCGCAGTATAACTATGCTCTCAAAGTGGTTTAAACGGACCTTATTCTAAATCGACAGTAAATTCAACCAAGAATTAATTAATTAAAATTGTTTTGCTGTGAGAATAAACGCGGGAAAGTTCGCGCATATGACCATTAGCCTTATCTCGGATAATATCAGATTTTGCAGCAAAAATGAAGGTAATTGTTAGTTTAAGTATAAAATTGAATTTTAATCAATTAATTTAACTTATTAATAATAGAGCCACACAACTAAACATTTTTAATTGATCTGGAGTTGAGACATTTATATCCGGTAGTATTTTGACCTACTGAATCCAAATGCGCGCCCAGTTTGACTATGAGGTCAGGATCAAGGTGATTTTAAGATGAAATTGCGAAGGAATCATTTAAGCGGAAAAAATATCTACATCTGCAGGCTTTGCTCCAAAGAAACGAAATGAACTGATTAGATTCAGTTTATTTATTTGCAGTTTTGTGAAAACCACATTTTTGCGATTTTCTCGAACCATGAAAGCTGGAAAACTGAAGAAAATACCGTTGAATAGTGCTCGATGAGCCCGAGATTTTTTTGATACGAAATGATGATAAATGTATTCTAGTTAGACCGAAACATAACTAATAGATTTACTTAATGATTTGTGAATGCCATAATGAGAAACTATAAGTGTCCTATTTTAGCCAGACCAATGAATCGAAATTTTCCAGTTTTCGACTTCTACCTTTTTATGTACAGTGTGTCACACTTGAGATGGAAACACTCCTGTATTTTTAGAAGCAGGGTTTTCATTTTCGGGTTCAGGCAATTCGCTATATTTGGCGATGCGTTAGACATATCGGAAAGAGTTACCAGATAAAGTTGTTCAGACTGTTATTTAGCAGTAAATGTCGAATTTCAAGGCAAATTTTGAAATTTTTTTTAATTTTTACACAAATCGAATTTTTGTATCATTATTCACTGGAGAGACATGGACACAAATCAGTCGCCTCAAATAATTATCAATTTCATATATATACATTTTTTTCAAATATTAGATTAGAGAGTTCGAAGTAGCAGACAAGTTGCGGAAGAATTCCATATGAGACATTCACAGAGAAATCCTTTTAGACATATGTATATATATATATATTAGATGATTCCATCTGGAGGATCAGTGGACTGAATTTTGTGGTAGAAAAAATAAAACGTGCTTTTTGCCGTCCGCTCTGTTCTCTATTAACCTCTAAAATTTTTACATCCTTCATATATGTCAAAAAATTACATCTTGTTCCACCATGCGATGTTGCCAAAGTATTCTCCACCATCATACCTTCAGTTCGTGCCAATCTTCAAATAAGTTTACATCTGAGGGCTGTTGAATTAAATGTAAGTGTAGATAAAATTAGAAGATGTCTGGCTCGTCATAAAATAAATCGTTAAGAGAAGACTTGAAACGCTTGGAATTATGCTTTTGAGCCCAAGGATTTTTTTAAATTATAGAACTTTTTAAAGAAAAATTACGTTTACGGATCGAGCTACGTTCACTATCAATGGGGTAGTATCTTCTCGAAACTGCAGATAGTGGTATACATAAAGTTCTCATCAGGTTATTAACTGCAAAAGCCAATATTCACAAAAAGTTAATGTGTGGTGCGGAATTTTAGGTAACAGAATAATTGGTAAAAGTAGGCCCCTGGTTCTCCTGACCTTACGCCAATAGATTTCTATTTCTGGGGTACTACTAAGAGTAAGGTTAACAAAGTAAAGCCTCAAACTCGAGAAGAACTATGTGAGACAATAAGACAAGCCTGCCGTGAAAATATAGCTGAACTTATGAGAGTTGCCAATAACCATCGCAAACGCATTGAAAAATGCTTCAGGCTGGAAGGTGGACAAGTTGAAGCAGACCACCCACATTCCATAATTCTCGTTTTTCTCTTGAATTTTTCTCTTTTTTTTTTAATTTGTTGATTAAAGTATGTATTGTTGAATTTTTTATGAATATTTATATTACCATTAAAATAACATCCGAAACAACTTTTTCTAGTAACTTTTTCCGATATCTCTAACGCAACTCAAAATATTTTGACGGGTGTTTTCATTGTGTCAAAAATTTCTACAAACTGAAGTTTATACTATCTATCTATTGCTATTTTGTTAAATATTTAATAAACAAGTTCACCTAAAATTCAAATTATTCATGCATCTCTAAAACGCAATAATACGTGGACGTGTGACGTCTCTGGTCATATAAATGGCGGATTGTTTACGTTCTGTGCATTGGGGTTAGTTGTGTGGTTGTTTCATTAATTATTTTGTGGATTTAAATAAATTATAGTTTTTCTTAAACTAAAAAATGACTTCAGAAGAATTCCTTAAAGCGTCAACAAACAATTTACCATGTGTACATATGTTTATGGTTACCGAATTTTTAAAAAACGAAGAACGCTTTAATTCAACCGAATTTAACGGTGTCAAAGTAGCAGCGCAAGTAAAAATTCGTAAATTAATTATTAGTTACTCTCTCCTTAATATACTAATCTGTCTCTATTGGTTTAAATTAAGTAAATAATATATAGAATTTCACTTATCCAACTTAACCTAACCTATACACATAAATGCTTTAAAAGTAAAATGAACTCTTAAATTTGTATTTTGGGCATCACGAGAACAATATCGTGATATCGGATATGTGGAATTGAATCACGAGGGTTCTTTGTACACTGTACAAGGTAGATTTGCCCAAAACAGAGAGTACGATCGAAGACATATTCTGTCTTCCTCATCATTAGCTTTTAGTGCGTACTTTCATCAAAATAATCCTCGCAACAAAAACATTGATTTTGATTTAGAAACATGTCGTCTAGCTGCTTTGAACCATAAAACTGTACGTGCATAATCATTGGGAACGGTTAGAAAGAGTTTGTTTGGAGCACTTATTGAGGAATTCTTGCATCCTGGGACAAAACACCACTTATTTTGTGATCCATACATGTCACTATTTTTCATCCAAGATAATGAAGATAATAATAATAATCACAATAACTTAAACAATAAAATAAAGCTGCGAAAGCAACATATAAACACGAGACACTTTGGATTCACGGAACACGAGATACGGATTCGGCGTTTTTGGCGGAAAACATCTGACTTGAATTTAAATTCGCTTTGAAATTATTATGGAGACTTTTTTTGCAAAAAACAAAACACAAACACAACACACAATTGAACACAAAATTGAAATCTCCTGTGTACATACATGTGTATATACAGCAAGAGACCAAATTGAGTTCTCAACATCTGATATAACATATGTTGATAAATCCGGGATGGATCCATATGGCTGATAAAACAGTGAATATGAACATAAAATTTCCGAAAAAAAATGTTTATCTTGAATTCCATGGTAAGGGCACATTTAATTATATGGAAGTTGATTTACATTATTGTTTGTTACTATTTCTGTAAAATAATAGATTTTATTATTGGCTATTTTTAACAACTTAATAGACTGAAAAACGGGGCCTGGCTCAAATTATAAACAGTTTATGATAAAAATTTTAAAATGCTATGAAATTTTGTAAGTGTAAAAACGGTAAAACCTAGCTAATTTTACTCCTATGTACCTGGCACTTAAAATGGTTTTGGACGGTCAAAAAGAACAAGCATAAATAGTAATAAAGCTAGTAGTACAGAGTATACTTAATCTAAAACTAAAACCGTTGCACGTCTTCAATCGTCAAACTGACCCTGTTGCCAAGTTGTCATGAAGATCTTTTGTTTTTGATAACGGATTATTGAATTGGTTTTATAACAATAATAACCGCTAATAGTCAAATAACAGTACAACAAAAAACAGATCTAGATCACTTTTGAAGACGTTAAAGCTAACAAATGTGATTGAGATATGGGAAAAATTAGCAAAAATTTATAGGCAAAAATTAAAACGAACCAAACCAAAAACTAATCGATAAATCAAACGTCAACCTGACAACACAGTAATTCCCTACCAACTTATAAGGTTAAATATTCCTTAAAACCGAATCAAACAGTAAAAATTCGTTTATCTCTCTTTAGTGTACTTTGCTATAAATAAAGTGAACGTAATCGTGACGTATATCGATATATAATACTACGTTATAATTATATTAGTAACATATTTTTGTTTGCGTGGTATGGAAATTACTAATTTGGGGTGTTGATGACGTGCAACGGTTTTAGTTTCAAATTAAGTATAGACACATCCGCCTGCGCAATTGAGTCTCAAAATAAGGCATTCCTTAATAAGGATACTGATCTGTGCTAATTGTGCAGCCATACTGTACAACTTTATTTGTACATTAAACTGGCAGATGACATTTCTAACGTCCGCTTGCATATATATATTATTTGATTGTCTACAGAACAGAGTTTTTTCTATTTCTACACGGTTTTTTATTGTAACAGTTAAGCGAAAATGCTCAAACAGCGTATATCCAATACTACGGAGGCAACAACGTAGAGTTAATTTATTTCAGTAAAATTGGGTTAGAACCTTTTAATATTGAAAACAATGAACTAGACATACCAATAACTATCATTTCGTTAAAGGAATAAAGCTAATGCAGCATTAAAATATGGATCAACCATAAGTAATAATACTGCATGGCAGTATTTATAATTTCCAATAACTGTCTATATTCTTGTTTGAAGTCGCCACAATAACCGTTTTCGATTTTTTTTTTCAAAAAACTTTTAATTTTACACAAATCACAACAATGTTGCAAGTACTCGAATATGGAATTGTATTACAGAATCTTAAGTTTTGCGTGAATTATTTTAAGAAAATTAAATACTGTAAAAACATAAAATTTGTAACCCTGTATCGCAAAGAGGAAGCCGTTTTCAGTATACAGGGTGTTCCGATAATGCGTTAAGAAATTTTTAAGAGCGATTCTACATGCTAAAGAGCTTAAGCTTAGTGATCCTGGGATTTAATTTGATTTAATTGCAGCAGATCAAGTCGTCTGGTCTAAAAATGTGCCAAATTAATTAATTGATTGAGAAATAAATAGTAATTGAAGGTAGGGGAAAATGAAACTTCGATATAGGGTAAAGTGCCATCTAGTGGCAAAGTGGATAAACATTTTTTATCAAAAAGTTATAGATCACTTAGCTGAAAGCTGAAGCTTACCACCATTATTTTAGCATGTAGAATCAC